ATGAGAATCATGTGATGAAAAACCTACAAAACAAGATAAGTTAATGAGAAAGACATGAGACAAAAACAATAAATTGATATAAAGTTTGGTGTTTATAAGTTCAAAGAGATTATAGAGAGGTTGGAGAGTTCTAGAAAGATGAAAATTACATTTTTTGTTGCAAACATTTGAGAGGAGGAGAGAGAATGTGTAAATTTTTTTTATATAAGGAAACAAAAAAAAAATTAGGTTAAATATTTTCGATTCCGATGACTGAAATATAAGTCGTCCAGGAGACTTTAATAATTTTAGCGGGAAACTAAAATATTTCTAGCGGGAAACTAAAATAGAAGACTTTCGAGAAGACTTACAAGTAAGTCGTCCAGAAGACTTATAAGTAAGTTGTCCAGAAGACTTACAAGTAAGTCGTCCAGAAGACTTACAAGTAAGTCGTCCAGAAGACTTACAAGTAAGTCGTCCACAAGACTTATAACTAAGTCATCTAGAAGACTTATAACTAAGTCGTCCAGAAAACTTACAAGTAAGTCGTCCAGAAGACTTACAAGTAAGTTGTCTGGTTTAAATTATTCAAGCGAGAAAATAAAAAAATTTTAAATTTTAGGCGGAATATTAGTACGACTTACTTGTAAGTCGTCTGTGTAAAATTATTTACTAGACGACTGATATTTCAGTTGTCCAGACCCTAAACCCTAAACCCTAAACTAAATTGACTAAATTAACTAACTAACCACGTTATAAAATCAAATTATACTTAAATAGTGTTTACAATACACAGAAATAAACACACTTAGGTAAATTTTTAATTTTTCAAAAAAACATTTATGCTTTCGAAAATCTAACCCTAAGAAACACATACAATACTACAACATATATTGGTGAAACCTAAACTAAAGAATATCATGACTCAATACTTTCACTCATCTATGCTGAAAACAACTGACTTTTGTTATATTTTAAATTTATATCTCTTAAGACATATGTTAATTACATAATCTCAATTTTTTATTTATCAAGATATTTATTACACAATTTTTAAATTATTTTTAAGAAAAACTGTCCCAGACGACTTTAAGTTAAGTCGTCTGGACGACTTAGTTGAAAGTCGTCTGGGCAGACGACTTACGAGGGCTAGAAACGTAAAAAAATACATTTTTTGTTTGTTCACAAGGGATTAGTTGTAATTTCAATAGCCTTTTAAGTTACTTTTGCATTTGATTCAAGTTTGGGTTTATTGTTGCATTTCAAATCAAGTTTTGAGTCATATTTGGCAATTTTTCCATACAAGAAACTTCAATCTGAAAATTACAATTGTCAAGATAGGATATTACATAAGGTAATAGAATTTTTTTTTAGTACTGTAATTTAGTCTATGAGAAGTCATATGATGCAGTCATGTGTATCTTCTCTTATTACGTTCTTAAACTCTTACAATAGAGAAAGATAAAATAAAACGATGTTTTTTTTTTCCTTTTTTTTGCCAATAGATCTACGATATTTATAGAAAGAAAACATATGTTTTGATATATGGTGAGGATAAGTCAATGCGAGTTTGCTAAGGTCAAAGACAACATTCTGTTTAAATAGAGAATCTGGCTTCAATGGTTCTGTTGGAGAATAGGCTTTAGAACACAATCATGTTTTCGTAACAACTTAGAGACATGGAAGCCAACAAAGAATTTCAAAATAAAGAATCGTACATGGCACCGATCATATATCATTTAGATGGACATGACTTTTCAGTATCTCTTGAGCTTCAAAAGAAGTTGTAAGCTATAGCTGGCAATCAATCAACCGAGAGACCACCAAAACAAAGACTGGCATGAGACTACATCATATATTAAAAACAACAAGCAATGATGATATCAATAGTTACTGAATTTGGACAAAACATATGTAATAAAACTCAGTGGATCTGCCTAAACAAACCCCAAAAATATCAATGTAAGTTTTTAATTTTCTATATACAGAACACCAAAATCCAAACCTTGAGAAAGCAGTTTATATTTACTAATCTCTTTTCTTTCAAAAAAAAAAAAAAAATCAGACCACACAAATGGTTCCAAAATTTCACCTAAAATTAATGTACTTGCCACTTCCTCATAAACAATTGACCGGTTCGTACGCAGGGGCGGATGCAGCATCATATGCAGACGGAGCACAACATTATATTTCATTATGTCTACCTATAGGATTATTGAACATTTCCTAAATTGAGAGTAATTACTGAAGAAAAACAAAAATTAGATGGGGTCACGTGACCCCTTTCCTCTCCACTTATGTCCGCCACTGTTTGTACGTAAGTCAAAACTATTGTATAAGTAATTTTAAAATAAACATCAAAGCTGACAACCATTTAAGCACCACAAATCCGAGTACTCACTTCTAAAATCAACAATATCAACATCAAACACATAACAAGCATTGGATAACACAATTAATACATACACTCCGCGCGCAGCGCGAACAAACTACTAGTTAAAAATATTTTAGCTCTTTTTCTGTGTTGTGTGTATCTTTTGGTATCTTGGATATTTTTGGGATTATGCAGTTCTCTTTCTCGGACAATTCTGTTAATTTGGATACTTTGTGTAATTTGGGTGAAAAATATCATAACTGAACTAGACCCAGAAATTGTTAGTATATGTCGTTTTCTAACTGAAGTATTTATACCAAACCAAACTATAGGATAAATAAATAAACCGATCAAAACTTATTTCAATGTAGGTTATCTTTGGTTAAGAGAAGTTGAGAACCGAAAAATCTAAAACCTAAATTAACTGAACCAAAGCAAAATGGAAATCCAAATGTGAAAACCTATATGATCTCGTCATTTCTTGTTGCCAGTGTTTTTCCAGACTACATATATGTTCCTCCGCCTTAGCTTTAAAGTCTTTGAAGATTTCAAGATTCTCTGCAACCCAAGAACAAAAAATCGAACAGCAGATTCTTTAACTAGACATCATGTGCATTTCATAGAGTTTTATATTTATTCTGGCTTAGATTCTCATATCTAGGGCTGGGTACAAATGCCTGATACTCGGCTTATACTCTCTACTTGACTCGATTTGGTATGAAAAAAAAAGTACTTGCTCCAATCAAGTCGAGTAGCAAGTAAATGGATTTTATTACTCGCAAATACAAGTCAGATATCAAGTTCATTTTAATTTTTAATTACTTGGTTTGTTACATGGTTTATTACTTGTTATCATCTACTCGTTACTTGTCATATATTACTTGGTTTATTAATTACTTAGTATATATTTCATTAATTAATTAAAATTTATATATTTTATAAGTTGCCACAATTACTTGTTATGTACCTCATGTTCACTATTTAGTTGGTACACGATCCTTAAAGTTGAATACTTGTTTGACTAAGACGCGTATCAAGTAATACATTTAAACAACCTTCAAATAAAAACAAATACAAAATAATAAAATAAAACTAATTATTCAGCGTTTTTTGGATTATTATTCGTTTTTATTAATGAACAAATATACATTTTTCTAAATCATGGAAAAACAACTTGTTTATATTCAATTTTCTAAGTGAATCAAACACAAGGGATATATTTATATAAACATTTTGGATTTTTTTTCTTTCTTAATATAATATAAATCACGAATGACTAAAAGTCAGAAAACCAATGATAAAATAAAAACAATGACATATTATTTATATATAATAAATTTATTTACCTTTATATTTTAAATAATTATTAAATAATTTACTAATAGTTATCAAGTAATTTGTAAAAAGTTAATAAATAACAAGTAATTAAACAAGGTAAATAATTTGAAAGAACATTACTGCAAGTACTTGAAACTACGAGTACTCATTTTTAATAAACCAAATACAAGTCTAAAATTTGAATACTCGTATAAGTCAAGTCGAGTACTAAGTATACCGAAAATACCAAATATTCGGTTTGTGCCCACCTCTACTCATATCAACTCCTATTCGAAAAATATAATAGCTTTTTGATGTAAAAAAAATTGAGGTTGTTTGACAAACACATTTTCTTCAATTTCTCCAGCTACGGTTTATTTATGCATTTTCAGTGCAAACTTCTTAATTTGGGCTTAAAAACAAGTCAAACATCCTCCTTAAACTAAAGGGCAAACACATTTGTGTAATGATCATAATATTTTGGACTAAATTTATTTTCTAAATTAGTGTATCTATATCTTTAAAAGTGATGTTTTATAAAATATGATGATCTTAGACTTAAGAAATCATTGTTCTTTTACTTGCTACAGGATTCGAATCATCAATTATTAATTAAAATAAAAATGCAGGCACAAAAGTAAGAACTAACGAATTATAGCCTCAATCATATTGATTTTTTCAGATAGAGAAAAAAACTCTCAATTTATTCAATTTCACCCTATGAAACCAAAAGAAACTGAATCAACTATATTAGTCAAGTGCATTTTTTTTCTATCCCTTGTTTAGGTACTTTGAAAGAAATTAATATACCACTCAATTAACAGTCGAACAAACCCTACGAATTTCCCCATTTGCCCCTGTCTTCACACCAATATTACTCATCTTCACCATCGACCTTGCAAACTGAACATTGAAGCTGTCTTTGGAAGCGATAAACTCTTGCACTATAGATCTAGTCGTTGGATTAGTCCAAAGAACCTGATCGGACTGAAGAATTCCTCTGCCACGACTAAGATTGTTGAAGAATGAAGTGTCAAAAGTATCACCACTTCCGAAGTCAAGATCCGCGCGGGATGAAGCGTCTCCGTTTAGAGGACAAAGTCTTTGAAGTTCTGGTACGAATGTTTGGTCCATGGTTGGATCTGCTCTGTTTCCCGTCGTATTGAATATCCTGTTTGTGAAAAACCCACATGCAGCTGTTCCAATCGTGTGTCCTCCTATTAAAATCATATATCCATATACTGTATTCAGTTTGATTACAAATATTATATGTATACGTATTAATAGGCGAGTTTTAAATATTTGAACTTAATTTCTTTTCTTTTACAAATTTTGGAGCCAAAAAAAAAAATTAGGGTCTTTATCTATCTAATGTTTTTAAAAAAAAAATTAGGGATCTAAGGCGAATGTTTTTCTATGACTCACTCATGATCGGTCATGATCGTAATAATTGTCCCTATATATCTTATATAGATAGGGAAATCAAATATTTGTTTATATATTTTGAGAAAATACGATTAACACCAGAGTTCGAATCAAGACTGTATTAAACTGATCCATACTATATCGTTCTGATAATAAAATCTATTAACATAAAATCCAAGCTGAAACTGAACCAAAGTTATATTGGGTTATGCTTAGATTCTGGATATCCAATACCTAGTCATGATAAAAAGTGCCAAAGAACATACAACTAAGAGCATCTCCAAGTTTAAAACTTCCATCGACTCTAACTAACATAGTCTGCTTGATCATGGTAGACTGATTTATATATAAACATAATTTAGTTTAGGTATATGACCAGGGTCGGTCCTGAGCCAAGCCGGATGAAACATTCGTCTTGGGCCCCCAAATTTTTTGAAAAAAATTACATGTACATAGGCCCCCAAAAAAAATTTTTAGACCCCCAAATATATAAAAAAAAAATTTTTTTAGGTGAAACCGTTTAAAAATTGCCTTAGGCCCCCTATTTCTCAGGGCCGGCCCTGGGTCTATCGAATCAGAATCCAGTTGATAACTTATTCGATAAAGTTAATTTTAACATTATGAGCCTAATCTAAGTACAAGTGGAAAGATTGAAACATTTGTTTTTTTTCCAAACCAATCATGGGATCCAGATATCTTGAATTTGGTAAAAAATTACTGACCGACGAGAGCGACAAGATCGCGAGTGTTGAGGCGGAAAGCGGCGAACTTCCTTTTTTGAACATCCACGGAGTCACTTGGAGAAGGAAGATTGTTAACGTTCGTTGCCAATGAAACTCGTCCATCTCTGCGTCCTGTTGGGACTTGCCAGCTTTGTCCTTTCGTCTACATGCACCCATGCAAACGTCACAAAACTTATAACTAATTAGTATCTCGTATATATCAGTTTTATTTAAATATCAATTTTCAAATGCTTTTAACATGCAAGCACAATGTATTTTCCTTCAAAGGATTCTACAAGTTTTTAGTGTTTTAACCAAAATACCAACTTTTAATTCTAAATGTAACCACCAAACGCATATACAAAAATTAAACAAACCCTTTCTTTCTGTTTGTAATTTGTGGAAATCTTTTTTTACTATAGTAATAAAGATTAATTCATATCAAACCGCAAACGCAAAGTTGGCATTTAAAACAATTGGAGGCATAATTCATTTTTTTGTACACTTACGAGGGAGATGGAATCACGAGCGGCTAAGGTTAAAATATCGGCACACGATACGACACCAGGACACGCGGCCTCAAGCTGCGTCTTGGCATCGTCAATGACTTCAAAACCACGAAGGTTAAAGTTTGCACCAGCGGTTCTTTCAGTGTTAGGTCCTGATATAAGCACTGAACCATCGCAACCCTGGACAAAGCAATCGTGGAAGTGCATTCTTAGTAATCCGGGTGCAATCTTTTGATCTGAAGCAAAGTGAGATGTCACAGTGGTCTGAACAATGGTCTCGGCGTTAGGGCATGTGGTCGAGTAGAACCCGATCCTCGTACCTTGGCCACAAACCGCAATGAGACAGCTAAGGAAGACTATGAACGAGAATAATGAACCGACCAATCCCATATTTTTTTTATGTTTTTAGAAAATATCTCAAGTGTGTATTTGAGTTTGCTTAGATGCATATGAAGTGATACCAGAACGTGAGCAACTTATAGAGGCATTTAGATAAGTTGAATCATAACGTGGAAATAAGTCAATGTAGTCGGCTACACTGTTTGTATAACGATGACGTAACAATTCAAAACTGAAAAGCGCGTTTCTAAGCTGGTTCCGCGCGTTGACGACTGTGAGCATGTTGGGGTTTGTTTCTTTCTTTTGTTTGTTTCTGTAAAATTGGTATACATATGTAATCATTTACATTGAATGTGATCGTAAAATATTCCTCTTGTAGAAGTTAATTTTTGATTCTTTATCATGGAAACTCGTGTAGACTTGAGGATGATTTTCATTTTAAAATGCACCGTCTTTGGATTGGCTGATCGAATAATGGGTATATTATCCGATAGTCTAATCTATTTATGATACCAATGTAGCATACTATCTGTAGCATACTCTATCATTATATTTTTGTGCACAAAATTAATAAAATTATTATTTTTTTATTTTCTATATAAAAACATCATTATCTACACTCATAACCATATTTTAATCAATAGAAAAATAAATTAATGTATACAATTAACAAATTTTACATTAAGAATCAAAAACAATCTTTATTTAATAACAAAATTTTATATGAACTTTTTAAAAAAAAAAAAAAAATCTTTCTGTTTCCTATTAAGTCGTTGTAGAGAACAAATTTTATTACAAAATAAGTGTCTCATCAATGAATACTACACTTAAACATTATTTAAATAGTAAATTTGTTAACATTGTATACAAAACTATGAAATTGTTAATACTACATTGATCTACACTGTAGCTTATACGATATAAAAGTTGAGGCACTAAGACGTCACCATCGTCCACATAAGATTAAAAAATAATATTTATGATTTCATAAATATCAATATTTCCAAAAATATATTTAGTTGCAAATAAAATGTAAATAAATACCAAATATGGTACTTAAAAAGTCAAAAACATTACAAATAAAATAACTTAATATCTACCGTAAATTAAAAATTAGAATTAAAATAACTAATAAAAATATTAATTAATTAAAAAATATAACACTTTTAAAAAATTCTAACGATATAAGTGTAACACATGATTTCCAAAATTTAGGCTATATGCTATTAAACGTATTCACAAATAACATATGCTATATATAAGTGGTCATTATAAATAACTGAGAGTGTCCACATTATTTTAAAGCACCAAAATAATGTCAAATTACATTTTAATTATTATTGTCAACTTTTCAAGATTTCTAAACAATGATTCTTTCTATACTATATAAAATTGAATTTATTTATTTTGACCAAATATAAAATTGAATTTATAAATTACTAAAGATGTCCTCATAGGATTTAAACCACCAATTATGTTATGACAAATCAACCTTTCAATTTATTATTTTCAAAATATCAGTATATTTAAAAGTTGTATATATGAAAATAAAAACCAAATAATTGAAATTAAGAAAATTAAATTTATTATAAATAAAAAAACGAAATACATATGGCAATTTCGCAATTTAACATAACATAACAGATAAAATATTAATTAATTTAAAAATGAAATACTTTAAAAAAATTATAACTTATTTAACACCTGATTCTCAAATTTTAGCCGATATGCTATTGAAAATATTCACAAATGACTTAGATTATATATAAGTCGAGGCTATAAAACATTGAAAGTGTATATAATAAAGAACTAAGAAAATTGGTCTAATCACCATCTTATTATTATTCTAATTTTTTTCTGAATTTCAAAAAAAAATTTTTAAAATAAAAAATGAAATAAATATTAAATAAAAAAACATAAATATTAACTGGAATAAATTTGATATATGCTACTAAAAATATTCAAAATTTAATTAGTGTACTAAAACAATATGATATATCACAAACTCTATCAAACTAAACTAAAAATAAATATCAACTAAGATAAACAAACAAAAAGAATAGGTTACCCAAATAGCAAATACATCAAAAATAAAAAGTCAAACTAAGATCAAGAATTTAACCTAAGAAAAAGAATTTAAAATGTAAACTGAAATTTAATATAGATTTTTTTAAATCTTATTGGTATCGATTATAATAAGTATCTAAATTTCTAATAATTTACATGCTTTTTAAAATAAAATAAAATAAAATAAAAGAAAATAGAGAATTATGCTAAAACGGAACATATATAAATTCAGCCTCCTTGTACCTTTGTATAAAACCTACTTGACCTTGTCCATATAGTATAATTATTTTCATAATTTAAAAATTAAACTTAGATTAATGTAATTAAACATATTTTAAAACTTCATTTGAATTTATGAAAAATTATTAATAAAATTAAACACAAAAAAACAAATGAAAAAGAGAAAAAATAAAAACAAAAAGGAAAAGACAAGTCCCGTAACCCTAATTTGGTTTCTACGCCTCTCCCTTTCTCTCGAGACGACAACAAAGGCGATTGTGTCTTCTCCAGCGAAATCAACGGCAAGACCAGCCTAACAGGGGGAATCGGTTCTCTCTTCCGGTGAAATCCGTTCTTCTCTCTCCGACATCGCTAGCACCGAAGGTAAGCACCAAACTTTCTTTTTCCAAATTGATCGACTCTCATTTCTCCTTCTAAATCTAATACCTTTCTCCGCCTATCTCTCTCCCTCAATGAACAGAAGACAATTTCATAGCTTCTTTCTGCCTCTCGGCATCTCCGCCTCTCTCTTTCCCCAAGATCAGTAGAAGCAAGGTAAAAGTCAAAACTATCTCCTTCCTCAAATTGATTTGTTTTGATCCTATATAATTATTTATTATGTCTAAATTGTCTCTTTCTTCTTTTCATGTTCCTCAATCTGGTTCCTTTTTGTATGTGTTTATGTTATTCATTCGGATTTCTCTTTGTATGTTTTTTTTATTAGGATACAAAATTGTTTTTGATGTTTGTTAAATGATAATGTGAACCAATTTTGTTTTTTTAATTGTCCTAGTTTGCAGAATCGATTGCGAGATTGAGACTGACTCGTCTTAGTTTATGTTTCTGACTTTGAATTTGTTTGTTTTTTGTATTGTGTTTGTCTTGGTTTCAATCATATGTTTTCTTCTTTGAATTAAATTAAAATGATTATATTTGTGTTTCTAACGTTTGTGTGTTTATGACATTGTTTTTATGTCATTTGTGCTAACATCCGTGTGTGTTTTTTTTATATCTTTTGTAAGTATGGAATTATATCTACCTGCGAATTAATAGGGAGAGGGTTTCAAACCTCAATTTAAAAAGATCAACAACAGCTGCCGGATGGAACTTCTCAGGAATCTGAAGAAAGCTACGTCTGAAGAATATGGAGAAGTGAAGAGAGATCATGTTTTCACACATATCACGGCTATTGAGTTAAATCGCCTCAATTTTTTTCAGGAAACTGGTGCATATATTTTTGTGTAAGGAGCTTATTACCTCGAAGAGGCATGAGAAGTGGTTTGTCTTTGCGAGGAGGCCTCTCCGGTCAACTGGCCTCAATATTTCGCAAGAAATTGGCAGTGACAAAGTTAAATGGAAAGATGACGGGGAGTTTTGGAGTAACATACTAAGAAGTTGTTGGAAGATCACCTTGAAGTCGATCAGGAAGGTGCATCTACAAGAAGTTTACATCTGGACTCAGATTGATAGGTTGAGGTTGATATACTTGTGCGTGATAATGAGTTTGGTGATGATGAGAGATGAGAAGGTGAACATCCCTCATATGTACATCAAGTTGGTGATGAACCTTGACAAGGTTCAGAATTTAAATTGGGGTCTTCACTCGTATGACTTCTTGCTGAATTTGATTAAGAAGACTATGAAGAAATTGAGTAAAAAGGAGAGCCACATTTTAGAGGATTTCACCTATAGTGATATCACTCAAATTACCCTAAGGAGTGAATTACTCTCTCAAATAAGAGGTTCAGTTATAGTACTTAGGGATCGAAGCCACATAGAGCTGGGTCGAACAACGTAGTTTTCTTATGTAACCGAGAGTTTTTTGATGGAAGGATGGTTGCTAGACTTAGAGTTTCAGGTACGTGAATTATAATGGAGAGGATGCAAAGCGATCTAATACGCTAGGACTCAACAGTCACTAATTTTCACAATCGATCGATAGTCGATTATCGACATCGATCGATATTATCCAATCGATCGATAGTCGAGTATCGACATTGATCGATGGTTGTGACGAGTTGATCCATTAGGTAAGGTCGATCAGATCTCGCTTGTTTCAAACAAACCTAACTCAATTAGAATATATCAGGGTGGAATCTACTCTCACAGTATCCTATGTCCTAAGTTCATGATCTAGTTAATTACTTTAGAACCATGCATGAAGAATACTTCTAACAATGAGTATCAATTCTCTAGCAAACTTATTTTGGGGCTAATTCATCAGAACATATAGAACCCTAAACCTAACTGGTGGATCTATTAAGACATGAAGTTTGTCATAGAAATTATAGATAGAATAAATGCAATAGAATAAATATTAGAACCAAAACCAATGGAGTTCCAGGAGAACTCTGATGGAATTCCTTCCTTCTCTCCTAATACTTAGAAAAATGAATCAAATAAAGCTTGTGTAGCCATCAACAAAATAGGGTTTCTGGTCGTCCAAGGGCATTGTGGTAATTTCTGGTTTTTTTGGGCTTAAGTCGGTCTTGGGATATACTCAGCCCGCGTTCTGGGATCAATATCGATTGATATAAAGGGTGCGGCATCGATCGATTTTCCTTTATCTTCTCGATGGCTTCCTCTCGCGAGGCAGACTGGCCACTCTTCAGTAAAACGGGCATGACGTCTGCTACATGATGATGATTGACCTCAGACTGGTGGCATTGGAAAGATAATTAAAATCTCTATTTTTTTTTCAAAATATGGGCTCAATCTAACGGTCGTAAGGCCTCAATATATAGCTAAACATCTGACGCATCTGT